TTGCTAAAATCCTTTTCAATCTCTTTTTTTAGAGTACTGTAATTTTTGCTATATAGAACTTTTGCTTCCTTTGTTAGATTGATTCCTAAGTATTTCAGTTTTTTGTTTGCTATTGTGAAAAGTGTGGTTTCTCTAATTTCTCTCTCAGTGAGTTTGTTGTTTGTGTACAGGAACCTGAAAGAGTAAGTAAAACCAAAAGGCACAACAGATATTGTGAAAGGGAAAGAAATTGCTGAAAGGGAAGGAACAACTTCAATGAGGAAAGGAGAAAAGGAAAAAAGCATAAAGGGAAAAATATATGTATATGCAAGGATAGCTTAATTGTACTGCTGATGTCTATAGCTTTATTGAAAGGAAGATTTAATGCTTCAATTTTTTTCTTGACCAATTTTGCTTGCTTATATCTTGTGATCTGAACAACTAATCTGAAGACAACAATGTGCAATATAACAACCATTGTTGAATTCCTACCATCTTGTTTAGTGAAACTCTGTATCATTTCTAATGTTTTTAAATTACTTTTTTATTCTCCTTAATTGTTTGATCAGTCTCGCATTCTTACATATGGTAATCTGAGCAACTTTGTGGAAGATAATAATATGTAATATAACAACCATTGTTAATTCTTATCATCTTGTTTTAAAATCCTGTATCATTTTTGTTTTCATATTATTTTGGAGTTGTCTTTGTTGTTGTCATTTTGTTATTATTTGTTTTGTCTTTAAACTAAAACTACCAAGCTCCATGAACATTTAGTTTTCTGTTGATAACATGGAAATTGATCAAACTGAACTAAAAACATCATTGCCTTGTACAAATGTCGTTAAGCAGTGCTACAGTGACTTCTATTAAAGGTAGAACTTCTTGATTTCTTATTTTTCTATTCTTTTGACCCATACTTGTTCATTGGTCTGAGATATAAAACATCAAATATAGCAAGAAAAGAGATAAAGAAGGATATATAAGCTGATAGGGCCACCTAAATAACTGTTACTACCCCTAAGGATCTGCAGTCGTGAGGCTCTAGTACTAGTTGTAACCAACTTCTACCATTCTCACAGATTACCATAAACTCAGCAGGAGAATTGGAAGAACTCCTTAGAGGGATGCTTTCAAGTGTGACACATCTGTGGTTACACAGTTATCAGGGTGGTCAAGTCAGTACTGCAGAACATTCTGACTCCTCAGGTTTCAGGGGACATGATCAATGTTGCTTTTTCTCTTTTTTATACTGTTAGTGTCTCTGAATTACATGCCAGATAGAATGAAGATTAAGCCAGTTTATTTTATGTACCCACAGTAAATAGGCAAATATTGTCCTTTAATTTTCCTAAAGTTTTACTTTCCAATTGCAAGTAGTTTGTGTTTTGGTTACTTAAGGACAAGCCAGAGAGAGAGAGAGAGAGAAAGAGAGAGAGAGAGAGAGAGAGAGAGAGAAAAGGAAGGAGGGAGGGAGGGAGAGAGAGAGGGAGAGAAAGAGAGCAAGCTACTGGTTTAAGGTCAAAAGTATATTGAAGAGTAAGGATATACTTCAAAGAGTTTTTAAAAGCTGTCAAGTACATTAAAGATATAACAAGTGTTGATTCTTCTCACAAAAATTTAAGTAATTCCAGCTACCATTCCTTTTCATATGGGGACCTGGTTGGACAAAACTTGAACCTTGTAGAGTGAAATACTCAAAAAGCATTCCATTTCTGTGTTTAAAGCAATTGTACAATTCAAACTAAGGCAGGATATTAAAATTTTCCCCTTTATTTTGGAATATGGATTGTAAACAATTGTGCTCTTTTATGTTGATGGTGTTCTACTGACTAAAATGTTCAGGTCATTAAAAGCAGTGACAATGCCATCTACTTCATGTTTTGGGCAAGTAGTGAATTCTCAGCGAATAGTTGTCATTGATTAGCTTTATAATAAAAGAAAACATAAATGCCAAGAATAAAATGAAATACTTAGAGAAACACTGCACCCCAATACCAGGATTACATTAGTCATCAGACTTCTGTTTGGTTTTGGGGAAGAGCTGTTATGTTAGCTGCTGCATACACCTCTGTATCCCGTCACAGCAAAGCATTAGTGGTGACATTAATAGCAATGGCTATCATTTATAAGATGTGCTCAATATAAAAAGAATTTCAAATCATTTTCTGTAATCTTCAGGAATTATTTTCTTCTTTTTATTGCTCCTACATTAAATAACTTGCAAGCTCATACAACAATACGCAATAGTGAGGCACATGGACTACCATGTCATACAGTTATGTTTTTAAGATCAAACTCTTCCAATCTCTACTATTTCTTTTCCAAGTTTTCATTTTTTTGACAACAAAATGAGAGTTACAATTTTTCTTTCTCCTGAATTTAAGAAAATATTAAGTGAGATATTCAATAAAAGAAAATGCTTGAATATACTATATACTTGTATACACACACACAGGCACATGAACAAATACCAAGGCCTTTGCTTCTAGTCCTGCTTGTTCTCAAAACTTGTGCTTCCCTTAAGCTAGTATGTTCTATCTTCATCTCTAGGCTTTTGCTAACCCATCTGTTCTTCACATTTAAGTAATATTTTTTCACATTTAAGTAATATTTCTTTTTTAGAGTACAATATGAGCACAGATAATTATGTTTTAAATTGTATTTCAAGTCAATAGATGGTTTCTTTAGAAATTATCCACTTACCAAAGATAAACTATGCCCCATAGAATACAGAATGCGGAATATAATTTCTCTCAACTGACATGTTGCATATTATAACATGCAGTAGATACCTAGATGCCTGTGTTCAATAACAAGCTATATGGTCTTCAAGGTCAAGGACTATGTCTGATATAATTTTACTCAGTATTTCTCAATGCCTAACATGGGACCTGAGCCACAGAACATTCTCAACAGATATTAGAACTTGAGATGAATACAGGCAGGTATGCTTAGAGGAAAGAGCAGTGCTCCATTCTTGTGGATATTCCAAGTAAGAATGACCAGGCACTGAACAGATTGAGTATCAGGGGTCAGAGTACTGTGTCACCACAGCTGCATTTATCTGGCTTTCCTCCTTTGGGCCTGACTACAATCTTAAATGTCAAATGCAGAAGGAAATGCATAAGCCCAGTGCTTTCCATTCCGAGCCTAAGTTTACTTCAAAGATTGGATGCTTGATGCTCCTAAATAAATGTCAGCATGTTTGGAAGATCTGTCAGGGTTACTCAGAAAAATGATGCCTCTGAGAAGTGTTTCTGATTTTACCCACTATTGTCATAACTAACAACATGAAAATGTGGTTCTGTTTCAGCTGTTCTAATGATGAGCAGCTACTATTAAGTTTTACCCTGAGTGACAGGAATTTCACTAAAATTATGGGCCATATTACTCAGGATCCTCCAGGTAACAGAACAAATTGATAGATGGTAGATAGAGAGATGATAGATAGGTAGATAGATAGATAAGTGATAGATAGATGATAGGTAGATGAATTAGGAAAATTGGCTCACACAATTATGGAGGCTAAGAAGATTCACAAAATGTTGCCTGCAAGATGCAAAATCAGGAAAGTTGATAGCATGGCTCAATCTAAGTCCAAAAGACTCACAACCAGAAAAGCCAGTGGTATTATTCTCAGTCTGAGGTTGAAGGCCTGAGGAGCTTCAGGGCCACTTGTTTAAGTTCCAGGATACAAAGTCCAGAGAAATTACAGCTGTGCAGTCCAAGTGCAGGAAAAAGTGTGCATCCCATTTATAGAACACAGAGAGTGAATTTGCCTGTCATTTTGCTCTATGTGGGCCCTCAATATGTTGGGTAAGGAAAGATCTTCTTTACTTATTCCACTGGTTCAAGTGCCAAACTCTTCCGGAAATATCTGCAAAATAAAGAATTCTTTATTTGCTGTTTGAGTATTTCTGAAATATAAAATATTTATTCTGAACCAAAAATCCATATTTTTTCAAAAGTGTATATATATATATATATGCATATATATATGGAAAGAGAGAGCAGCATAGAGGCATTTTATTCTAAACTGGTATTTCTCTACTCTGGCTATACATTAGAAAGACCTGGGAAGATTTTTAAAATTGTAATACCAGATCCACTATCTTTTCTACTTCCAACTTATGAATTGACCAGAACGTGGGAGGACTCCTTCCAAGGGATTTTAACAAAAATCCTATGTGAAAACCACTGTCCTATCAGTTCCTCAGGGTGGCTTGGAATCTGATTCAAGTTCTGATGTAATCCTTAGTTTGTTACTGATCCACAACAAGGTAGGTGCTGAAATGGAGAGTGAGTCCTAATCCATTCCAGATTCTTTAACAAAATACCATGTACTGAGTGATACACAACCACTATAAATTAATCTGTCACAGTCCTGGAGGCTAGCAAGTGAGAGCCGATTTCCTGGCTCTCAGAAGCTAGCTTCTTGCTATGTCCTCACCTGATGAAAGGTGCAAAGTAGTTGTCTGGGACCTCTTTACAAGGGTATCAAGCCCATATGGGAGGACTTCATCCTCACAATCAAATTACATCCTGAAAGCTCCACATCCTAATGCCATTACAGTGGTGATTAGGATATAGATAGATGATAGATAGGTAGATAGATAGATAGATATGCAGATGATAGATAGAAATATTCAGACCACAATAAAGTATCTAAAAGCATTTATGTAATATGATAACTTTAATTTGTGTTTATTAAATCTAGTAATAAAAGTGGATGGGCTTGTGAAAAAAGAATAAACTCACAAAGGAATATTCTGAATAACTAGACATCTACCTCTGGTAATGAGGATATGTTGGGTCCCTATTTTAAACTATTAACCACTTAAAGTTGAAACATTAAGGTCATGGAGCCTTTGCTCAGGGAGAGCGCTGGAGCACTTGGGTACCAGAGGGTTAATGACCAAGAGTAGGGTAGGTGGGGTTTAAAACCAGGAACACATACCCTCCAACTTAGATAGCTTGCTTACTGTTTAATTGCCCTTAAAACACACACTCTCATATAACACGGAAGGTGAGGGCGGAATGAAGTTTTCTGGGTAATGGCTTGAAATGTTTTCCTTATGAGACGTGGTGTTGAGTTACAGCATACAGCCGAGAACTGGGAGGAGAGAAACTGCAGCCCCAACCCGGCCCCCACCTTTCCTTGGGCTCCTAGGAAGGTGGACATGGGCTCCCAGAAACAGGGCCAGTGACATGGTGAGCTGTCCTGTGTGCCACAATCCACTGCTCCCAGAGTGACTTAAGTCTGCTGTTTACCAGGGTTTAGCCAGGCCAGGCGAGCAGACACAGATGCTCTGCTGTGCAATGCCACGCAGGCAGGGACTGACAGGCAGCAGGAGCTGAGCTTCCCCCTTGGACTGACTGCTGTTTCCCCACTGTGTTCAGGGAAGGGGGTGCTTTCTGGCAACTCTGCTGCTGCTGCTGCTGTTGCTGCCGCTGGTTCTTCAACTCTGTCTCCACCCAGGTAAGCAGGCTCAAAGGGAGGGCAGGCTGCAAGGGAAGCCTTTGCACCATGAACAAGATCCGAAAGTTTTTCCGAGGAAGTGGGAGAGTCTTGGCATTTATATTTGCGGCTTCTGTCATCTGGCTGCTCTTTGACATGGCAGCTCTCCGCCTCTCATTCAGTGAGATCAACACTCGGACCCTCAGGGAAGACATCGTGCGGAGGGAGCAGATAGGATTCAGAGTTCAGGCAGACCAAGTGAAGCCCCTTTCCAGCAGCATCAGAGAGATGAGGCCTCCCCCAGGGGGACTTGGCAAGAGGATGTGGGGCAAAGAGAACTTTAGAAAGGTTGAGGAGGGTGTGCTTGAGATGGGGGATGATTTGAATCAAGCGCAGAGGGAAAGAAAAATGCAGAACACCCTGGTAAGGGGCAAAGTTTTGCCTTTGTGGCATCCCGCACATCAGCAGACTCCCACTGAGACTCTGACCAAGCAGAAGACAGAGATGAAAGACAGCAAACCGAAAGCCTCCACTCTTCAGATGACACCAAAGCAAACGACAGTGCAGGAGGCTCAGAGAAGCCCATTCATAGCAGTACGAAGAACTGCATTGGTCAAAATATCAGGACACACAGGACCTGTCGGCACAAAGAAAGAGGCCCTGAAGACTCATAATCTCAGCAGTGACACATCAAAACAAGCAGCTGAGAGGAACCTCAACGTGACCATTGATCTTAGAACTGACAAAACAAAGCAGCAGCCACAGGCAGCAGCAGGTAAGAGGACACACCCTGTCAGCCCACCAGTGCCAAATTCCGGGAAAGCCACAGCCTTAAATAGAACTGAGACTCACAGCAAAGGACTGCATGCAAATAAATACAAAGTCCAAAAGGGTCTTCCTTTTGTGAAGCTGATCGCCAAGTCAAATGGCTTAAGGAAGCCATCTGTGAACAAGACACAGCTGAGAGGCTTCCTGAAGGATACTGGTGCCAAAGCAACCCTTCAGAAGAAACTCAATTTCTCCGAAAGCCACGTTGTGATTATAACCAAGGAGGAGGAGAAAAACACAGACACCAAAGAGATTTCCAATTCTAAAATCAAAACTACATTTCCTGAAATATTGGATAAAAGCCAAGGAAAACAGATTTCCAGGATTAGAAGTGAAGCATCTTTTCCCTCACCTGCTTTACAGAAAGCACCAGTATCTCAAACCATACATGTACTAGATGGAGGGCTTAAGCCAGCAAGAATCAATTTAACTGCCAGGGCCCAGCCTGGAGAACACAAGCAAAATCATACAAAAGTCCTTTTGCCTGAAGACCATGGAATGCACCAAGTGTTAAGAATAGATGTCACTCTTTCTCCAAGGGACCCCAAAGCTCCGGGTCAGTTTGGACGTCCTGTCATTGTTCCTCCTGGAAAGGAAAAGGAGGCAGAAAGAAGGTGGAAAGAAGGAAACTTCAATGTCTACCTTAGTGATCTGATCCCAGTGGACAGAGCCATTGAAGACACAAGGCCTGCTGGGTAAGACCCATTTCTCTCCTCTTTCCTCAGTCACAACTACTTTGACTTTTATATAGAAAAGATTTATGTTGAAGTAATTTTGTATTGGTTCTAACCAACTAAAGAATTAAAGCAGTATTAATCATTAGATCCTATCTGAATATTCTACCATCCACCTAAAGAAAAAAATCTGACATGAATATAGGCAATGTTTTATATATATATAGCCCTGTTCCTATATTTCCTTATCCTGACTTTATTAGCTCACGTACCATTTCCTTCCCTTTAGGGCAGAATGCTTGCCTAGCGTGTACAAGGCCCTGCAATCAATCCCCTACACTGCCCAGAACAAGTCACTTGCTTTGTAAAGTTAGCCGTTTACAGGGAGCCTGTATGCCCATAGATGAACTCCATAGAGAAATGAGGCGGCAGACATTATGGCTCAAATTAACTGACCAGCGTGCTTACAAGTTATATTATGTTCCCAAAATAGTCCAGTGCTAAAGCTGCCCAGTGAACCCCCAGCAATAGACCTTCAAACAACTGAATTCCTATAATTCCATCATCAGAAGGTCAACAAAATCACAGATAATCCAATTTAAATATGGTTTGGTCTCTAGCTTTTTTGGCCCATTCCTAAGTGAGGGTGCATTGTAACCACATGTTCACTACTCATTAATTTATCATTCAGCTCCAAGTGTACTTTGATTTTCACTTCTTTGAGCCAAACAACAATTGCCTGAACTGTATTCATTAGTAAAAGGAGCCTCTTCATTTTAATGTCAGCTATAATGAAGCCATTTTCAGTCTCTTAGCCACTGGCAAACAGCTATTGGCCAGAGACTAACTGCTTGTTCAGACCAAGTGCTGTACCTTTCGTACTCCTCACCTTGGTGATACAGCCTTGATGAGAACACAAAATATCCACGAATGGGGAAATTGAGGCTCCATGTCTGTGATCATAGAACTAGTAATAAGTGAAGAGAAATGCTTAAAATCCATGCTCAAAATTATGCTGCGCTCTCTCTCTTCTTGTTGATAATCCCTCAAGAATGATCTTAAAAATTGTATTGGCCCAGCGCTAATCTGAAATCCTATGTTTCATAGGATTACATGTACCTTTTTAAGCAGAAAATGTAAGGGAATGCAGCAGTCATTTAAGCAGCTTTTTTTTTAAAATGCATTAATGGTCAGGCTGACTGCTGTGGGGTCTGGGAAGGAATCGCACCCAGCACAGAAGCAGGAGCTCCAGCTCCAAACTGGAGAAAGGGCCAGTGTGTGAGGTCAAGAACAAGCCATAGTGATGTTATCATGCATGTGATTTACGCACAGTGTAATGGTTCCCAGTGCTTTTTCATTTTAATTTGGTCTGTGGAAGTGAAGCCTTGCAGCCTAGAAAAGTTACAGTGAGGCTCTGTCCTCTGAAGGGGTTTGTCCCACTCAGCAGAACTGACGTGTGCTTGAGGAGGCCAGTCAGAGAGCACGTGGCCAGCACCCCTCCCTCTTCTCACACAACCCACCTTGGCTAAATAGAGGTACGTTCCCTCCAGACCTGCTGCCTGCCAGCTGCTTGCTCCACACCCAGCATGGAGAGGGCAGGCTGGCCCAGAGGAGCCGAGACCTGGGCTCCCCGAAGTGTGTATAGTGCTCTTGTGCCATTCTTCCTTGAAGGAGGAGGAAAGATTGTTTTCTTGTACCGAAACATCCTCATAATAAATACATTTAAATTGTGTATTTGATGGACAAAGATTGGAAGAGAATATAAACTAAAAACATTTTATTCATCAAGCAGGAAAGATCTGAAGTTTTTTTCTGACTTTGATTTTATTTGAAGTCTTGCTCAAAAAATGCTTAAGATGCCTTACAAGGATACAGACAATAAGATTTTTTAAAGACAACAGATGTTGAAAGTCGGCATAAGGAGAAAACTGTAATATAATATGATAAGAAAATGTGTGTGTGTGTGTGTGTGTGTGTAGGAGTAAAAGAACCATCAAGATACAGATCTATAAAAATACAGGAGGGTGGATTGATCTTAACATTAGCCACAGAGATGACAGCCCACTGCAACCTTTAATTTTCAAGACTGCAAGAATGTGAGTAATTACCTTCCTTACAGCCCTTTGTATTCCCCTCTTATCCCCGCCACACAGAATTATAACTGTTCCTTGAATATAGATTGACAAAAAAGACAAACAACAAAGATTAGAAATATTCATTTAAATTCAATTCCCTTCAGTACAGATAATAACTAGTTACTAGTTAGTAACTTCTTACGGATGAGTTAGCTGGCATTCTAGGACAAGACTAGCCTCAATTAGAGAAGACAAGTACAGGTACTAGGGCAGCTTCCCCTACTTTAGTTCTAGAATCAGACTCTTACAAATCTGCTTTTCTGTCCTTTCCCACTCAAGAAACAAAAAACCATTTGTAAAATATTGAGATGCAGTTTCATGACCTTTTCCCAAAGCACAAGAACTCCCTTCTGCCATCAGCATTGCTCACGTTACCCTTTCCTGTGTTGTCCCTGCCTCTCCTTTGCCATGGAACTCTGGCAAGAGGCGCAAGGAGTGCCAGGGTCTTGACCGTCACAACCTTTTCTGCACACTATGCCCCTGACAGCCCCCAGGAGTCTGTAGTAGTCAGTCTCTGCTGTAGCCTGACTGTGCCCCCACGCTGTCTCCCACACATGCTAGTCCAACACTGCTCTTAAGCCCGCCGTAGCCTACCCCATGGGCCATGGCATGGCTGCAACCTCTCAATTCCAGTAGCCTTAAGGCATGCAGCCTCCTTCAGATGGAAGCCCCGCGGTGTGTGCTGCACTAACTGGTGCCCTGAGCATGTGTCTTCCTTTTCAGGGAGATTATAAGCTTCTTCAGGAAACTGCTTTTAACTTAATGTCACATTCACTTAGCACTGAGAACAGTGCTGTGTAGTGTAAAGGTACAGGTGCATTTAACATGTATGTAACAGAGATTTAACATGTATGTTCATCTGAAGTGATTATTAGAAAATTCTCCCTACTTTAAAAAAATAAGTGAGAGATAACAATTGTAATGAACATTGTAATAAGTCTAAAGTTAACAATTACTTCCTGGTTTTTCATTTCAAATATATGCAATTTATCAGTATCCAGTTTTAAGTAAATATATCCTGTTTAACGTTGTGATCTATTAATTGATTCATGTTTATTCATTAATTCATATTTTTGTCAGTGTTTTCATTTTGAATTGTAAAGTTTTGACTTTTAAGGAAAGGAAGTCTCTTTAGTTCTGGCTTTTAATTTTAATATTTGCATCCAAGAGAGGGAAATCTCTTTATCTAAAAGAATGTTTTATGTCAGTAAAATATAATCTCATCTTTGCCTAGAACGCTGGCCTGTAAAAGATACTTAAATATAAATGCTTTTTTTGACAATCATTTTAAATCCCATATTTAATCTTTTTTATAGAAAGCTAATCCTTGCTGTTCTTATTCTTAATTATTGAAATTCACTCTCATCAACTACACACATACACACAAATTTTTGCTGAAATACAGCCTTATCTACTAAAAATATAGGGCAGCTCTACTTAGAAAGGTCTGTCTTTTGGCCTGCAGCTATCATTAAGATGGGATTCCAAAAATGAACTTAAGACTGTACTTCCTGAATCTGAATTTAGAGTGAAATGACTCAAAGGAGTTTGCTGCCAGCATTTAGTTTTTAAAGTACCATAAGAATGATGTGTTAGTTGGACGTAGCGTTACCTGATGGCCTAGTTTAATGCCTTGCTTCTCCTACATAATGCTGGCCAGCCCTTCCAAGAAGCAATTAAAACATGTCCTTACTCTCTTAATACAGAGTTGGAAACATTAACTCATAATTTGTTTCTTCCCTGCACAGCTAAGGACAGTTTTCTTTTGGCACATAGGAAAAGTAGAAGATAGCACTGGGCGCTTGCCACAAGCCAGCCTAAATTACTAAAGGGAAAAGACAACGCTCAAAACTTTAATTTTAACCCTACTTAGGTGAAAAACCAGAACTAATGAGTTAATAGAGGAGGAGAAAAAGAAAAGGCCAAACAACTAGAAGAGAAAAAATAAACTGATCATATACCTCTTCTTCCACACTTAAGTCTTCTAAAAGTTTATCAGGTTCAGAGAAGAGAGAAATTTGAAATGAAATTCAAAGGTTTTATTTTACATGGGATGACTTTAAATTAATGAAATGAGAATGCTTTTATAATTAACATTGATTAGAAAATATTGTCTAAAATTGACTGAAGGAGCCACGAAATCCTTCTGAGAAAACAATCAGAAACAAGGAAAAAAAATCTCACAGGATGGATTTAAAAGGGTTATTTCCTGATTTCACTTGCAATTCAAAGGTGCCTTTTGATAGTGTTCTGTGTGTGCAAATACATGCACTTCTAAACATATGTGTTTGAGCATTGACGTTCTTGCTCTGTTTCACTGAAAAGACATGTAGAAAAAACAAGAAATAGGAGGGAAAATTTGTTTTGAAAGTGGAAGCAAGACCTTAACATAATCAACATGAAATATGGCCAGATGATGATTACTAAGCCTTTGGGTACTTTTATTTGTCACATTGTCCCTATGACTAGACAAAAAGAAAGATGAGAGCAGTGATGTAAAAAATTCTGCTAATAATTAAAAAAATGAAAATGGTTAAACACTGCCTAACTAAGATGAAACTAAGAAATATAAAAGCAAAAGCAAATTGCTCAACTACATAAACACTGCTACAGATCTAGAAATATTCCTGGGAGAGAGTAATAAATATAGGACTTTGGACACCTATTTACATAGCTTTTTTGCATATCAACCCAGGGCTCACTTTAACCATGAACCTAATTTTATCAGATTCTTGCTGCAGTATTGCCCTAGATCCTCCAAATTGTGCTCTTCTGCCTGATCCATTCAGAACAAAACTACTCAGGAAAAAAAAATAACTTTTTTTACTCAAAGGTCAAAAATTCAAGGAAAATAGTATAGTAATGATTAGAGGCTCTGTTTTATTG